GGCTGGCTTTGAACCATTATCCTCAGATCTCAGCCTCCTGAATAGCTAGGATTACAGGCATGAGCCACCAGTGCCTGGCTTATTTTACTTTTTTTTTTTTTTTTGCTGCAGAAAAGGTATAAATATTTTCTTGTGGGCTGGGAAGGTGGCTCAGTGGTAGAGCACTTGCCTTGCATGCATGAGACTCTGGGTTCGATTCCTCAGCACCACATAAGCAAAAAGAAAAAAAAAGCCAGAAGTGGTGCTGTGGCTCAAGTGGTAGAGCACTAGCCTTGAGCTCAATTGCTGAGGGACAGCGCCCAGGCCCCACGACCGGACCCAAAAAAAATATTTTCTTGTTTGTGTGATTCTAAACTCTTATGTGCTTATCTTGTGATGAATTATATGAATCACTCTTGTGATACTGACTTTTCTCTTTGTATCTAATAGACAGATATGCTGATACTCAGCTGTGATCTGATAACAGATGTTGCCTTACATGAGGTTGTGGACCTGTTTAGAGCTCATGATGCATCACTTGCCATGTTAATGAGAAAAGGACAAGATAACTTAGAACCAGTTCCAGGTCAAAAGGGGAAAAAAAAGACAGGTAAGGAAGATTGGGGCTTATTTTTTGTTGGATTTTATAAGTGTTTTTATCATTCATGCTTTCATTTAAGAAACATTTGATAGGGACTGCAATGTACTATGAATACTGTACTAGGAGTTGATGACATAAAGTCAAGTAAGATACATCCAGGTGCCAGTGTCTCACGCCTATAATCCTAGCTACTTAGGAGGCTGAAATCTGAGAATCACTGTTCAAAGCCAGTCTAGGCAGAAAAGTCTCTGTGAGACTGGAAGTGGCGCTGTGGCTCAAGTAGAAAAGCATTATCCTTGAGTGCAAAGAGGCTCAGGGACAATGCCCAGGCTCTGAGTTAAGCCCACAACCACCACCAACAAAATAATAAAATAAAATCCCTATAATTAGAGGCATGGTTCAAGTAGTAGAGCTTCAGCTGTGAGCAAAAAACCTGAGCCAGAACATGATACCCTGAGTTCAGGCCCCAGGACCAGCACACACACACAAAAAATATACTATAGAATCTAATTAAAAGCTAGAAGTTGGACTGGAAAGATGGCTCAGTGGTAGAGCGCTTGCCTTGCATGCATGAGGCCCTGGGTTCAATTCCCCAGTACCACATAAGCAAAAAGAAAAAAAGCGGAAAGTGGCGCTGTGGCTCAAATGATACGCTAGCCTTGAGCTGAAGAGCTCAAGTGCCTAGGCCCAGAGTTCAGGTCCCACGTCCAGACCCCCCCCCAAAAAAAAAGCTAGAAGTACTTTTTGAGACAAGAACTGTGTCTTCTGTGTCTTTATGTGTGCGTGGGTGAATGTGTGCGTGTGTGGGTGCGTGCGTGCATGCGTGTGTGTGTGTGCGCGCGTGTGTGTGTGTGTGTGTGTGTGTGTGTGTGTTGACCTGGGCACTGTTGCTGAGCTTTTTTGTTCAAGTCTAATACTCTACCACTTGAGCCACAGCTCCACTTCTGTTTTTTTGTTGCTTAATTGGAACTTAATGTCTCACAGACTTTCCTTCCCAGGCTGGCTTGAAACTATTATCCTCAAACTGCTGCCTCCTAAGCAGTGAGGATTACAGATGTGAGTCACCAGTGCTCAGCTGTAAGACTCAAATAATTGAACACATATGTACTTGTCTTTTAATATCCATGAGAGATTGATTCTAGAACCCATGATTACAAAGCATATGTATACTTGCATGCTCATACATATATGTTTTACTGTGTACACACACTGCAAAATCCATGTATACTCATTTCTTTATATAAAATGGTATGTATAGTGTTTGCATATACATGTTATATACCTCTCCCAGATATTTACAATCTAAATTACCTGTAAAGCCTGAAAAAAATTTAAGTATTGTGTAAATAGTTGTTATCTTATATTTTTTAGGGAATAATAACGGAAAAAAGGCTGTATATGTTCTGTACAGAAACAGGTTTTTTTTGACAGTATTTAGGTTTGAGCTAATGCCTTTGTACTTTGTAGGCAGTTACTTGAGCCGTGCCCCAACCTTAACAGTTTCATTTTTCCAAGTAGTTTGCATCTGTGATTGACTGTGTCACTGGATGTGGAACTTGAGACTACAAAGGACTAACTGCAACTAAGAAACATTTAATTAAAATCAGTGTTTTATAATTTGAAATCATCCTTATCTTCTAGAAGTATAATTAATTTTAAAAATTTCCTAGGATTATAGTAGTAGCATTTGGTTTTTAATCTTTAATGCATTATGCTAACTTTACCAGACTACAAAGAATAGGAACAACACTCTAGTTCAGTCAAGGATAGAGAATTTGAGTTTATGAACTGTTGATTTTTGTCTAGAACATGGCATCTGATTGTTTTTGCCACAGTATTTAATGCCTTAACTGATTCTGTATCTAGATTATTTTTTATAGCTGAATTTATACCCAAAAGTCTTTTTAACATTCACATCTTTGGACTGGGAATGTGGCTCAGTGGTGGACTATTAGCCCAGCATTTGTGAGGTCCTAGAGTTGATCCCCAGCACTGTCAAATGACAAACAAAAAAGACAGCATAAGCCAAGCAACAAAATATGGTTAACAGAAACTTCTGAATGCTGGTGGCCCATGGCTATAATCATGGCTACTTAGGAGGCTGAGACCTGGAGGATCGCAGTTCAAAGCCAGCTTAGACAGAAAAGTCTTAGAGACTCCTTATTCGATTAACCAGCAAAATGCTGGCTGGAGGCATGGTTCAAGTGAAAGCACTGGCTGTCATCAAGAAAATTGAACAAGATAACAAGACTTGGGATTTTTGTTTTTGTGCCAGAACTGGCAGACATAAAAAGACACATTTTTCATCCTGCAGTTTAGATATCACATTTCTTGGAAACATGGGTTACACACACCCACAGTGTTCTTCAGTGACTCACATACAGATGGATTGCTTGTTTGAATGTCTCATTTTCCTCAATAGAAACTGTTTGTAGCCCCCTGTCTGGGGTAAGATCATCTTTGCATGATCTTTAGGATTGCCTATACTATTCCACTTAACAAGGACTGTGTTTTTTCTTCTGACTTGGGTTATCTAGTAAAGCCTCATGTAAATCTTGCTTCTCTTGGTTGCTTAAATTTATCGTACAGATATGAGAACAGAAGGGTAGTTCCCTAAGACACACATGACTGATATTAATGTTGTTAATCTCTCCTTCCTCTTCTGAAAACAATCTCAGTGAGCATCTCTGTTCCATTTTCATACATGTGCATAAAATATTTTGATCATATTCACTCTCTTTTATCCTCTCTTTATCTTCCTCACTTCTAGTACCTATGTTGTGGGCAGGACCTGGTTTACATTCCTATTAATTGCTACCAATTTTTGTTAAGTTCATGTTAGTTGTTCAAAGGGCTTTTAACAGCATACTATTTTTCACATGTACAGATTGTACTTTAATCAGATTGATCCTTTGCCTATTCATGCTTACTCTGGTCTGCCCCTTATTATTCAACATCTATTTTACTTTTGTCCCTTGAGTTTTGTTGCAATGTTAAAAAGTATTGTTGGGCCAAGCACTGGTGTAGCTCATGCCTGTAATCCTAGCTACTCAGGAGTGTGAGATCTGAGGATTGTGGTTCAAAGCCAGCCAGGCAGAAAAGTCCATGAGACTCATCTCCAATTAACCACCAGAAAGCTGGAAGTGGCGCTGTGTCTCAAGTGGTAAAACACTATTCTTTTTTTAAATTTTTTTATTGTGAAAATACCGTACAGAGGGGTTACAATTACATGGGCAAGATAACGAGTACATTTCTTATCAAGCATTGTTGCCTCCTCCTTTGTTTCCCCTTCCCATATCCCCCCCCCCACTCCCCTCACCCGATCTCCCCCTCCCAACACCAAAGTTGTAAAGTTTGTTTTTTGACATAACAATTTGTACATCTCATTGTTGCAATGGGTCCACCTGTATCCCTATTTAAACAATTTGGGTAAAACACTATTCTTGAGCTGACAAGCTTTGAGACAGTGTCCAGGCCCAGACTTCAAGCCCTATGACTGCCCCCCGCCAAAAAAAAAAAAATTCAAGACCAATATCAAAGACCAAAGACCTCTTTTCTCCTAGGATTTTTTTTTCTCTCTTTTTTTCCTTTTTTTCTTTTTCTTTCTTTCTTTCTTTTTTTTTTTTTTTTTTTGCCAGTCCTGGGGCTTGAACTCTGCCTGGGCACTTGCCTGAGCTTCTTTTGCTCAAGGCTAGTATTCTGCCACTTGAGCCACAATGCCATTTCTGGCCTTCTCTCTATGGTACTGAGGAATTGAACCCAGGGCTTCATGCATGCTAGGTAAGCACTTTACTACTAAGCTCATTCAGCCCCTCTCCTAGGATTTTGATGGTTTCATATACTAGGTTTGAACATTTTATCTTTTTTTTTTTTTTTCACTAGTCCTGGTACTTGAATTCAGGGCTTGGGCACTGCCCTGAGCTTTTTACTTAAGGCTAGTGCTCTACCACTTGAACCATTCCCCCACTCAGATTTTTGGTAGTTAATGGGAGATAAAAGTCTCACAGATTTCCCTACCTTGGCTTGGCTTTGAACTGCGATCCTCAGATCTCAGCCTCCTGAATAGCTACAATTACAGACATGAGCCACTGAAGCCCAGCTATTTTATCATTTCAAGTTTATTTTGTATATGCCCAATTTCTTACTGACAGGAACATTCTATACTTTGTCTATGTATGTGTTATATCAATGCCATACTGTATTGGTTATTATAGCTTTGCAGTAACATTGTAAATCAAGAAGTAAAATATATGTGATTTTTTTTCTTTCTCAGAATTACTTTGGTTATTTGGAGGATTTGGTGGATCTCTATAAATTTTACCATTGTATTTTTCAATTTATATAAAAAATTCCTGGGGGTTTTGATAAATATTGTGTTGAATCTGTCTATACTCTTGAATAATGTGCATATTTTAACAATATGAATTCTTATTGTTATGATTTTAAAAAAAAACAGGTTTTGATCCTTTCCTCTGCCCCCTATACTGGGGCTTAAATTCAGGGCCTCGGGCTTCGTCCTTGTGCTTATTTACTCAAGGCTGGTGCTCTACCACTTGAGCCACAGCTCTATTTCTGGCTTTTTGCTGGTCAACTAGAAATAAGAATCATCGATTTTCCTGCCTGGGATGGCTTCAAATCATGACTCTCAGATCTCAGCCTCCTGAATAGCACCACTGGTGCTTAGTTCTTTCTGGAACTGAGACTTATATGAAGTTTCTATAACAGCCATCTTTTCAAACAAGCTGACTAAAGGAGGGTATACTTAGGGGAGGAATCTAAAGGCCTGTCTCCTCTGAACAACTAATGTCCTGTGTATCAGAATGAATACCAGGAAGTAGAAACATATTTTGGGGGGTCACAAGAATGGAGGGAGAAGAGTGAGCAAATGCAATCATTATATCCATTGCACATTATGTAAATAATGAACTATGTAACTTGAGAGTAGGGATGGGATAGGGAGAATGAAGGGAGATGTGATATTGACCAAGAAGCATTGTACTCGTGATCTGATTTATGGAATTGTAATCCCTTTATACAACTACTTAATAATTTAAAAAGAATATCGATGATACTATATATATACATATATATACATACACATTCGCAAATGTATTTTTTAAACTTGTATAAAAATAGGGGCTGGGAAGGTGGCTCAGTGGTAGAGCGCATGCCTTGCATGCCAGAGGCCCTGGGTTCAATTCCTCAGCACCACATAAGCAAAAAGAAAAAAAGCTGGAAGTGGCCCTGTGGCTCAAGTGGTAGAGTGCTAGCCTTGAGCTGAAGAGCTGAGGGACAGGGCCCAGGCCCAGAGTTCAGGCCCCATGACCGGACCCAAAAAAAAAAAAAAACACTTGTATAAAAATAAAGATTTCCTTCTTTCCAATTTCAGTGAAAAGATAGTAAGGTTTTTTTTGTTTGTTTGTTTGTTGCAGATAATCTGTTTACTAAGTGCTTCTATATACTTCTATGCAAAATTGTTTTTCTTAGCACTGAGGTTTGAATTTAAAATTCCACACTTACTAAGTCCCTTGTTTTACTGATTATTTTCGGTTTTTTGGTTTTTTTTTGGGGGGGGGTGTCCGATCATGGGGCCTGAACTCTGGGCCTGGGTGCTGTCCCTTAGCTCTTCAGCTCAAGGCTAGCGCTCTACCACTTGAGCTACAATGCCACTTCCGGCTTTTTTTTTCTGCTTGTGTGGTGCTGAGGAATCAAACCCAGGGCCTCATGCAAGGCAAGCGCTCTACCACTGAGCCACCTTCCCAGCCCTTACTGATTATTTTCAAGTTAGGATCTCTTTATGCCCAAGCCTGCCTGGACTACAATCTATTTGTGGTTCCTTTGTCACTAGAATGACAGGTATACACCACTATGCCCAGCCATTGATTGAAACCAGTCTTGAAAATTTTTCAGCCTGTACTGGGGTCAAACCATGATCTCCTGATCTCTGCCTTTTCAAGTAGGTAGGATTAGAGGCTTGAGCCAGTAAGCCCAGCTTTGATAGATGTTTAATACTATTAAGGCTTTAAGTCACAAATAATTATTGAATGTTATCTCTGTGATGTCATTATATCTCTTGGAATATTTGAAATATAGATTAAGTTCTAGAAAACTTCTATTTAATCCATTCCAGTTGTCTATAGTATTTCTTAAACTTCTCAGCTCTCAGAATTACATAGTATTAGTCCAGACTAGAATCATTACATACTAGTGTGCTCCATAACCAAGAATGAAAGGTCTCATGCTGTCACCTGTCAATCAGCTGAGCTTCCTTAGTACTGATAGATGGTCTAAACCTGTATCACTTTCATGTTGGCTTCATTTATTTTTTTAAAACTGTTCTGTAGGACTGGGAATATGGCTTAGTGGAAGAGTGTTTGCCTAGCATGCATGAAACCCTGGGTTCGATTCCTCTGTACCACATAAACAGAAAAGGCTGGAAATGGTACTGTGGCTCAAGTGGCAGAATGCTAGCCTTGAGCAAAAAAAGCTCAGGGTCAGTGCCCAGGCCCTGAGTTAAAGCCCAGGACTGGCAAAAACAAAAAAAACTGTACTGCAAAGTTCCTATTTGAGTTTCTGCTGTTCTGTTTACTCCTCTAAGTCTCCATCCCCCTCCCCCCCCCCCCCCCCCCCCCCCCCCCCCCCCCCCCCTGCCATCCCACTGCTGTTTTTTGTTAGAATCTCTACAGAATCAAATCTGAACCTCTGCAAGGTGCTGGTGGCTCACACTTATAATCCTAGCTACTCAGAAGGCTGAGATCTGAGGATCAGGTTCAAAGTCAGCTCAGGAAAGCAAGTCCTTGAGACTTATCTCCATTTAACCACCAGAAAACAGAAGTAGAGCTCTGGCTCAAAGTGGTAGAGGGCTAGCCTTGAGTGGAAAAAAAAACTCAGGGACAGCATCCAGGCCTTGAGTTCAAGCCCCACAACCCACAAACGTACAAATAAAAATCTGAACTTATTATGCCTGAAGGAATATATACAGAAATAAGTTCAAACAGGATAGGATTCATGTGATAAGTACATTAGTAGGAACATGCACACAATAAAGATACAATTATTGCCTAATTCTGTAATGAAGAAATTCATGTAAAGGCATATATTTTATAAGATAGAAATAATTTACCTCTGTGCTACCCAGGTAGTTGGTATAAAACTGTATCTCTGATTTGCAACAACACTGAACTTTAATGCAGTCATGGAGTATAGGACATACTATATATAAAACTTACATTAAACCTTACAAAGGGAACAGAGATAATTAAGATTTGTTCTCAAGCTGGGCACCAGTGGCTCACACCTATAATCCTAGCTACCTAGTAGGCTGATATCTGAGGATCACAGTTCAAAACCAGCCCAGGCAGGAAAGGGCAGAAAAGTCCATGAGACTCTTATCTCCAATAAACCACTCAGAAAACTGAAGTGGTGCAGTGGCTCAAGTGATAGAGCCCTAGCCTTGAGCTGAAGAGATAAGAGACAGCGTTCAGGCCCAGAGTTCAAGCCCCAAGACAGACAAAAAAAAAAAAAAAAAGATTTGTTCTCAAGCTAAAAGTCATTGAGTGGGGCCTGATAATTTTCTTTCTGTGGCTCAAGTAGTAGAGCACCAACCTTAAGCAAAAAAAGCTAAAGGATCAGCACCCAATCCCTGAATTCAGGCTCTAGAATCTGTACATAAACACATACTCACAAAAGACAAAAACAGCAGACAAATTCATCTTTATAGTAAGCATTTTCCTTAGACCTATATTCTCTTTGTAAGATATTAAAAGATTACTTTAAGCCAGGCAGGGTGGCTCATGCCTGTAATCCTAGTTATGCAGGAGGCTGAGGATCACGGTTCAAAGCCAGTCTGGGCAGGAAAGTCCCTATGAGACTTTTTTTTTTTTGTCGGTTGTGGGGCTTGAACTCTGGGCCTGGGCGCTGTCCTTCAGCTCAAGGCGAGCGCTCTACCACTTGAGCCACAGCTCTATTTCTGGCTTT